TGGAGTTCAGACGTGTGCTCTTCCGATCTCATGTAAAAAGTACACCTTTAACAGGATATTCGTGTCTTTAAAAGTTTGTAATATTTTCTAGTAATTTTCTATTAATTTTCACGTAAAATTGAAAGCATGTCTTTACAAATCAATAATAAAAATTCGTTTCTTTTTTTTTTTTTAAGAAATTTTGGTTTAAATTGCGAAGGGGAAATAAGCTCTTCTGCTACATCCATTGAACAAAGTTCAACAAACAAAAATGTAGAGTCAGAGCAGTATATTTTTAAAGGACTTAGATCCGAATTGGAAAAAAGTGTAACATCACAAACTTCTTCGCAATCATCAGCGTTAAATAGTGTAGCACCACAAACTTCTTCACAATCATCAGTCTTCAGACCTTTGTCTCCATCAATAGGACATATTGAAGAGCATTCGAAGTAAGTACACAAGCACTTTATTTGTAGGATTTTTACTTTTGATAAATTGTTCTTTATAAAAATTAACTTTTTTTTATATATACATATATATATATTGGTATAGTGATCCGAATTTAATGAATGTCAAAAAAATATAAACGATTTTAATAAATATTTGTTTATGTCTGTAGTTCACCAGTCTTAAACAGCGTAGCACCACAAACTTCTTCACAATCATCAGTTCGTAGACTATCTTCATCTCCATCTTCAATAAAACATAGTGAAGAGCATTCAGGGTAAGTATCTACAAGTATCCTTATTGTAGGATTTTTATTTTTGATTTTTATAAAAATTCACTTTTGTTATATATAAATAAATATATACATATATATGTATGTGTGTATATATATATATATAGACACAGACATAAACAAAAATTTATTAATAATGTTTATATTTTTTAGACATTCGTTAACTTCGGGTCATTATACCAGTACATCTGATGCTTGTTCTACATTAAGTGTCTCCGATACACGTAAGAAGAATCTAAGTGGGCTGCAGCGGACAAAATCAAGAGGAAAATCACAACCGGATTTATTACAAAATGCAGTTCATAGAGTTACTTCTTTACTAGAGAACAGGTGCTCTCCAACTTCTTCAACTCTCGATCCTGAAATACAAGAAGATGTGGCTCTTTGCCAACTTATATTATCATTATTGAAAAATATGCCGCAACCTAAAAGAACAGAAAAAAGAAAGGAAATATTACGAATAATATATGAGTTACGAATAGTTATAAACAAGCTCTTAATTTTTTCAGTTAAGTAACATTCGCAGAATCCTTCAATTAAGCGTCTATAATGAGACTTAAGATTTAAGAAAATTGACCAATTATAGTCGATTATCTCACGTGAGAAGAATAATCGATTGTGATTGGCCAACTTTCTTAAATCTTAAGTCTTAAATCTCGTTTTTGACGTCGCTTGTGTAAATCTATTTTTCTTTTTGTGTTCTTTATTCTGCGTTTGTTTTTTGTATTGAAGTATGGTATATGGTGCAATATTTCCAGTAATTTTTTGTTTTTTGTTCTTGATTCTCAGATTTTTTATTTTGTATTAAACGATACAATGCAATTGTTATAAGATAGTCAACATAATGCGTTACAAAATAACATAAATGCATATTACTTTAACTATACAAGTTGTAATAAAACGCTGTGTTACTCGCTAGTCTTAGCCTGAAGTTTCTTTTTAGTTCTCAGTTGATTATTTTGTTGAAATATAGATCACTTTTTGTTTTTATTGTAACCTTTTTTAATAAAAGAAAGTTATAGCTCTGTCAAATGTAGACGTATATTAATGCTTATATTAGAAATTATCGCAATGCTGCCCTCTTTGGACATACTCGTATTGCCAAGGAACTTCACCAAGGGGAGACAAAAAATAATCGGCTAACTTTTCTCTTTGTTTATATGCAATTGTAGTTGCATGATGCGCTGAAGTGGCTGGTATGTTTGTGAGTGCGTTATCAGTATATCGTCGCCATTCCCCAGGGATGATGTTGCCTGCAGTATCCTCTGAGTCCACAAAATTTGGAGGACAATATATTCTATCATTCATTTGCACACGATCTTCTTCAGACTTTATAAAATTATGCAGACATACAGTCGCCATGATAATGCTATCAACATATTTTGGATTCATTGTAATAGGCTTCCGATAGATCCTCCACCGTGAAGATAAAATACCAAAAGTATTTTCGATCGTGCGCCTTGCTCTAGATAATCTATAAGTCAATAAAATAAAATATTAAAATAATTTTAGTACGATACAATAGTAAAATAATAATAAAAATAAAAACGTGAATTACTAACCTGTAATTAAAGATTTTTTTTCTTTCATCAAGTAGTTTTCCGGAATAAGGTCGCATCATGGTAGTGCTAATTGGGAAACCACTGTCCCCAAGAAAAAAGCATGGTAATTTAACGTTACTTCCAGGAAGATTTGCAGTTCCTTTGGGAAGGTTCAAGGTTTCCTCTTCCAGTGCTGAATGAATGTCAGAAGAGGTGAAAATACCACCATCGCTATTTCCACCATAGGAGCCTACGTCGACTAGTGTAAACATATAGTTATGGTCACACGCAGCCATCAGTACAATGCTGTATGTCTTTTTGTAATTGAAGAATAAGCTCCCGGAGTTTGGAGGAGCTTGTATCACCACATGTTTTCCATCAAACGACCCAACACAGTGAGGGAAATTCCAATTTTCTAGATAACCAGCGCAAATATTTTTCCATTCTTCTTCGGTTGGTAAACGGAGATAGATCGGTTGCAACACTTGTACTATGACTGGACAAGTTTCATGAATAATTTTCCGAACAGTTGATTCTCCACATCTGAAAGCCAGCGCGATAGATAATATTTGATCTCCTGACGCTAAA